AGCTGGGATTACAGGCATGAACCACGCCCAGATAATTTTGTATTTTTAGTAGAGACGGGGTTTTGCCATGTTGGTAAGGCTAGTCTCGAACTCCTGACCTCAGGTGATCCACCTACCTTGGCCTCCCAAAGTGCTGGAATTACAGGCAAAACTTTTATATACCTCAGATAGAAACTGTGTGTATGGAAAAGATGGGAGTGAGGGGAAAAGGTTAGGAGGACACAGAGACAAACCTGGAAGGCAAATCATGATGGAAAGTTTCCACAATGAACACTTGGATTGCTGGAGGAACCATTTTTATGCATTTATTTACATACACACTAATATAATTACCAACTCTTATTTGTGAAAGAGGTCCTTAGGGATCATTTCCTATGCAATCAGTGCTGTATATTATAGAATGTAATGACAAGATGTTTCTTTAAAATATTCTTAAACATTATGTCAATTCAGAAAGGCCTGAGAGGACTCCCTGCAATTCACTGATTTTAGCAAAGATAAACTATTTTCCACATTTTATCACCTCTGGTTTTTTTGAGATGCATCTCACAAATGGTGGCACACTACAATTGTCTTGGTGCCCTTGGCCTCTGGTTGCCCTACTGTTCCAGAGGGGCAGCTGAGGCAGGCACCAGCTCCCCACACCTCCACCCTTCTCCTGACCTGATCCTCACTCTGACCCTGTCTCTTTGACCACTTGACCCCTCCTGTCTCTGAAAAACTCCTGGATTTCAAATGCACAGATTTCAAGACTGGTCAATTTTCTTGGGTCATTAACTGCTTGCAATGCCTATCAGCTGCACAAGGCATCCATTAATGACTCTTGGGCAGGAAGTAATTGGTGAACTCACCTGGGACTGAGGAGAAGTCTAAAAAATCTTAGTATCTACACAATAAAATTTCTAAGTGATAAGAAAGCAAACAAAATCATAGTGCATTTAAAAATTGATGCTGTCTTAACATTTAAAGAAAATACAATAACAAATATTTTATATAAAGTGTGTCTTGCTGAACCCTAATGCCTTCTCACTCCAACCCCAACTCCAACCCACTCCATGGGCTCCAGTGCCATGACCAGTTTTCCTCTTTCCACGGATCCTGTTTTTCCTGTTGGAGGAAACTATTAGATCTCACTGAGTATTCCTCTATGTCACCTGTAACATTTACTTGGAGGATGCAAATATTGAGATGGAGCAGGGACCCCTCTTTGAGGCCTGATGGGCCCACAGAACATAGAAATAAAAGAAAACCTAGAGTCCCTTCGAGGAAAATCCCAGGCAACTAGCTATCCTTGAGAAGTAGCTAGCCTTATGAGCAACCTGTTAAGCAAAAAGGTAACTATAGCTTAAAACAGCCAAAGAAGTGAGAGCGATGAAATATTTGGTTCCCTATAGAAAATCAAGAGAACATCTTAATTTATGTCCCTGAGTTGTTTTTCAGAAACCCAGATCCCCAACAAATGGAAAATGCTCTTTGCTGGCACACAGACCTCAGATATTAGGGAACTGAGGGCTGAACTCTGACCAATGTTCTTCATTCTGAATTTCTTCCTGAGGGGCCTGGAGGAAGTCATGCCCACAGGACAGAGCTTAACACTTTTTTTCTACTGACCCCAAGTTTTTAAGCAAAGCTTAACCAATTGCAAATCAGAAAATCTTTGAATCCATCTATGACCTATGGGCCCTGCTTCAAGATGTCCTGCCTTTTTAGGCTACACCAATATACAGCCTCCATGTATTGACTTATGACTTCACCTGTAACCGCTGTCGTCTAGTCTTTAAAAACTCTTACATGTAAGTCATTGAAAAGTTTGGGTCTTAAGCATGAGCTGCCTAATTCTCCTTGCTTGCTGCCCTGCAATAATACCTCATTTTTCTTGCTGCATATCCCAATATCAGTGTTTGGCTTTGCTGTGTCAAGCAGGTAATCCATGTTCAGTCTGGTAACAATCTCAGCTTTATTTCTGGGGCTCAACTGAATTAGTCTGAAGTACAACTCTGACTTTGAACATGAGTAAAGGTTAATTGCAAAGCAACAATTTCAGAAAGTTGCTCAGCCACAAAGATAAAGCAAAGTCTCTCAGTCCCTCTGGTTGATGTCAGGTGAGCATGCTTACCTACATAGAGCCTTTCATGTAAGCACATCTGGTAATTACAAGTCTTCCACAGGGACATTTTGCCTGGTGGGTGGCATCATCCTTTTTACTTGACAACTACATTTCCTTATAAACTGGATTGTGTATAAGAACTGTGAGGGCAGAGGGAACAAAATTTAAATATTTGTTCCATTAGGTTTAGAGAATTTGGATTCTGTTTTATAGCTTACCAAAGAGCCACAAATCTAGTTCTATTCAGGGGATTTAATTCACATCTCATTAACTACCTTGACAAAATCCAACATTAGCCCTGAAAAGCTAATGTGATTAAAGAACTGACAGACATTACTTTTTTCCAACTAATCAAGTTAATTTTAATGGAGGTAATAATGTCTCCCTGGCAGGTTATTACGAGAATCAAATAAGCTAGCTAGCATATTTTGGGTGCTTTATAAATTATGAAGTGTTAAACATGTGACCATTGCAGGTCTCTTTATTCCTGTGTTATGCCCTCCATATTCCACCTCTTGTTTTTCTTTTCTTATCTCTTCCTAAGGTCTTACCTAATTATTTAGCTGAGGGAACTCCTCTAAGTCTGGTGTACTATGACCCATGTTTTCAACCAGCAAATTGATTCAATAAATATTAACAGAGCAATTACAGAAACAGTTTAGAGAGCTGAGTACTCCAACCCCAAGAATGCAAAATGGGAGAAGCTACCTTCTATCCCCACATTAACACAGAGGGTCTTCCAAGGGAACATCAAGGGTTTATATGCCAGCTTCTGGAACTGTCTGATTCCCTCTTAAAAACTTTAAAGGGCAAGAGATAGAATACCTGGTGCTTAGGAGTGAGCCAAAAACAAAAAAATGGCTGTGTTGGGCATTTGGGATTCTGTAGTTTGTCAGCAGAAATAAGGGTGTTTCCAACATACACACTGTCGGCCATCCAAGAGTCAGGGTAGAGTTTCCTGAGGCCCTTTCCCACTGGACCATCCAGAGTGGCTCCCCATGAGAGGTGATAATGACCACAATCAAACACATTTGTTTCCCATAGACAAAGGAGTTACCAATTAGTTATCTGGAGTGGTGTAGGCATCATGCTCATGGAAGCTGCTGTGTGATCCACAAGGGGCGTTTGGATGATTTTACACAGATGTGTCTAACTTTATGGAGGCAGGATCTTCAAATATGTCACATAGATGCGCACTCAGATCACAAATACTTATATCTTATATACTCATATACTTATATACTCAGATCACAAATACTTAAGTATTTATACTTAAATCCACTTTGATATTCAGTATTGTCTTCAGTGGGAAGGCAGTGTAGACATTAAATAAAAGGAGAGGAACAATTAACAATTCTGTCACCAAAGTAATATGACGGCACAGCATTTTTAAAAGATGTGTTTTATAGCCAGATATTTTAATTACATCTTACAGAACCACAGTGGAAAACAGCGTATTCTCCCCTATTTTAAAGATGGAGGATCTGAAAATAAGCTTAAGAAACTCAAGATCACACCCTGAGAAAAGGGAGGAAGTTAGTGCCAAAGAAACCCACGTAATGATTAAATCTTTGCTTATACTTCCATTGAAATAACATCCCAAACTTGTGCTGAATATACTGAGATTGGAAGAGAAAGAACCTCTACCCATAACTTCCCTACTCACTGTAAATACCCAGAAATGCTCTTGTGTTCTCTGGGACCAGGTGCAAGCAGTTTTGCTCATATTCTGCGTAACTTCTCTAGGAGACCAGGTCCCTCTCAGAACTCAAGAATTATGACATGCATGTTGGGTCATGCCTGTATTCCCAGCACTATGGGTGACTCAGGCAGGAGGATCACTTGAGACCAGGAGTTCCAGGCAAGCCTGGGTAGCATAGTGACACTCTGTTTCTACAAAAAATAAATTATTCAAGTGTAGTAGTGCACACCTATAGTCCCAGGTACTCAGGAAGCTAAAGTGGAAGAATCACTTGAGCCCAGGAGGCCAAGGCTGCAGTGAGCCGTGATTGTGCCACTGCACTCCAACCTACGTGACAGAGTGAGACACCGTGGCGAAAAAGAATTACAAAAGCTGTATGATTTCACTGTGCTTACAGGTGACAAAAAGTCTGCTCAAGCAAAAAGGAGATTTATAAACTCTATCTAGGCATGGCTGGAAGGAAGTTGGCCTTAGGCACTTCCAGAACCATCTATCCAAATACCACCAGAATGCCCCGACTGACACACTTCCTGTACAGCTCCATGTTTTGTGTATCAGTTTCTTTCTCTCCAGCTGGAGCTCAGCTAGGTGTGTGCATGTGTGTAGCAGAGAAATGGGGTACTGGTGTCAGATTCACATTCTTATGGCTTCATAGCCCAAGAGGAGTAAGAAAGATGACTTCTCATCTGTTTTTAAATGCTGGAGAAATAAACTGGAACATCCTTGGTCATATGCACAACCCTGGGTATAACCACTGTCGACTGACGAGAGCTACCAGAAGTAGCAAATCCTGGGGACGTCCCCATCCCTTTGTTACCACACAGATGCTGAGCAGACTAGCACTAGAGCCAGTTCAAAATGGAAATAAACTCACAGCACTAGGCAACTAACGTGTACAGTAAAGGAAAATGTTACACAAAAAGCGAACAAGGATTCACCCATGAAGCCTTGGATAAATGATTTTTACAAACATAGCAGGCTCTGACAAGGAGCAAGTTGTGAAACTCAATGTTCATTTGATCTTTCTAGAAGAACAATATCTTTTCTCTGGTAAGATAAAAAGAAAAGCAACAACTTGACTAGAAGTGGTGATGTGTGCTGACTTTATTGTTAGCTATCCTGACAATCTGTTGCATTATTCCCACATTTAGCAATGCCATTCCCAAGTGAAATAAAGGACAGTCACACTGATCTATATCACTTTGGAATATTTATTACATTCAGTAATGCATTTCTTAACATGTATAGCACTCTTTAATCAAGAATATAAAGTCATCTACTTAGAATCACAATATCTTAAAGATGCATACTGGAATGATAAGCAAGTTTGAAGATGTAACTATCAACAATTCTTTTCAAAATCATATCAATATATTACTCTCATGAAACTTGCACATTCTAAGAAAGATCATTTTTCCCCCCAGTACTGGGAAGGTACGCATTTCACCATGTGGCCAGCCAGAAAGGCTATTTTATATACGGTGTGTGTTACTTATTAAAAGCCTGTCTTTTCTCTAATATTGTACATTACACAATTGTAGCTACACCTGAAGACAAGTGAGTTTCAATGACCACCATCACCTAAAAATATGAATAAATTCCTATATTTAGGACCAGAGGAATGATATATTGTACCGTACTATGCCTACCTCTGTCCAGAGGCCAGCTGTCTCACTTGTTCTTCAGGGTGTCTAGACTTCTTACCCATCTATTATCTGGGATGCTTCTGAAGTCATTCCCATGGGCCCCTGTCTGGTATTGAGAATACCTCTAAGGAAGTTTCTTTCAAACCTGATCTACCCATCATGTTTATTCCCTGACATTAAAAGTTCACTGACTTCAAATCCCTAGACTTGTCCATCATTATTTTCCCTAGTTGGACAAGGCTGAATTAAAGAGACTTTGTTAAAGGAAGTAGCCTTGGCAGAAGAAAAACCGTGGTTCTGTAGAAGTGTCATTCAATATTTAAAATCTTTTCTGAACCAAAATGAGAGCCTGAAAGTAAAGCACCTTTTATTTTTTAACTCTGCTGTCACTGCTACTAAGGATTCATGGTAAATTATCCTGCAGCCCTTCTTGGCTTGAGAGGAGGTACAGTACAAGTAGCCCACAGGGTCTCAATAACAGAAATATTCTCAAGGACCCTTGAGAATACAAAGGAATACTGGACTGTTTTAAAATGAGAAAACAGAAGAATCAGTTTCTTCTGTTCATATTCCTATAATATGCCTTAGTCTTTGAAAAGCACAGATAGATAGTTGGTTTGAACTAATTATTTCTCCCTGCTCTCCCCCACAAGAGATACTCCTGCTTGTCTTCTTGGGCATTTGTTTAAAAGCAGTATGGGAGGAAGGGGGATGCTCTAGAAGATGTAATCATAAAATCTGAAGCCCCAAAAGAAAAGTCAGAGGAGGTTGAAGAAAAAACAATCATGACAGCAACTCTCCTAATCACAAAATCACATGTGTTATCTTTCTTTCAGGATTAATAATTAATAGTTAAGAGGAAAGCCACATCAATTTCTAGGGCCTTTCGTGGGGAAAGGTTCATATAATTTAGCATACATACCATATTCAGTGAAAATGCATTCAATAAATTATCTATTATAAAGACAACCTTCTCAGTACTTAACAAATGAGATAATTATAAATGCTCCTTTTGCTTTTTATTAAAATGTCACAGCATGCCTAGAGAACAGTTTATATGGATGCATGAAGTCTGAAACCCTAGAAGAAAACTAATCAAAAACCACCTGTTAAATACACAATTATGATTACTGGTGTCCTTTCAATTAAATCCTATGTGTTTAAAATGAAAAACACGCAGCCTGGTACAAATATTCACGTTTCAATTTGCGATCTGCTGCATTGGCATGAGTTTTGGTGAAACCTGGTAAAAGAGGAAAAAAAATCAAATTATGAAAAACTGCATGATATAAATCTCTGTCCTTTTAATTTCCAAATTTCAATCATGTAGGAAACAAGCAGCCTTGCCATAGACATTCCCTGGAGTTTCCATATGATTTTCCACCCTGAAACACTGAGACGGAATCGTTCTGTTTACATTTTGGGTATTTCGTAGTTCTCAACCTTCTTGTATTAGCTCCTAAATTAAGGATGAACAAGGCTGGCAACAAGGAGCAGGTGGAAAAGGACCAGAGGAAAACAAAGGATCCCAATAACCAAGCTCCTTGTCAGATCAATCACTGATCTCTGAGACCGATGCCTCTGAGACTTCATTTAAGACACAGTACAAACCCCAAGTCTCCAAAACCTCAAAAGAGATCCAGCCAATTCATAATATTGTTGAAAGATGCTTTATGTAGTCTTTCAATTACCTAAATACATATTAATGAAGAGACGTATGATCAATGATAAATCTTACTGGAAATTTCATAATCAGAACAGAAATGATACAAAGGCAATAAGAGGATTCAAAGTTATTAAAATATGGAAGTTAGAGCATTAAAACAATCAAATGTTGATTATAATTATGTTCAGTGTATAAAATAGTCAATGCTTTCCTGCAAATCTTCAAGCAGAGAAAAGTGACAATGAATGTATATTTAAGGTAGAGCTGGTTGCAAGAGAACCATAAATATAAGTAGTCAGTTTAACTGTGACAGATTTTTCAAAGTGTGGTACCAGGTTCAGATTCCTTAATTCAACATGGCAAATACTGATTGGGTTCTAGTTAGTAACAGTCCCCATGGAAAGAAGAAAATACCAAAACTTGGGTGCTTTGTGAAATTCTCAAAGATGTGGCAACTGAAATGAGCCCAATTAGCATTTTACCTTCCAGAATAAACTATTTTCTTAAATTGATAAATGAACAAATGAATGAATAAGTAGATAATTAAGTTTCAAAGAACTAGAAGGGAGGTTCCTGATAGTTAAATCAGTATTAAAAACTGAAAGAACAGGCAATCATTTGGCTTTCATTAGGTTAAACAGTTTTAGTCCATCTATAAATAATGTCTACATTAGCTCTTCACAATTAACTCTTTATGGTATCAAGAGTTAATGTCCTCTCTTCCATTTTTCTCCTAAAGTACTAAACCAGAATGGCAAAAAGGTCTACTAAAAGAATAAATAAGAATAAACAAGAATAAAAAAGTTGAGCAAGATTTGGTATATAGCTTAGGGTAAACGAGAACGCATTATGACTTATTTCTAAGAGTAGACATACAGATAAACAGAATAAGTAGACAAAAAGTAATATCACATATATGCACAGATCTTCAACTCTAAGAATAACATTTAGTATTTAGATAAGTATGTCTCACAGTTCATTTTCTTTCTTTTTCTTAAACAACAGAGCATCTGTGGAAATAACTTAGTGAAACCTTATTTTTTTTTTTCTCTCTTTTTTTTGAGATGGAGTTTCGCTCTTGTTGCCCAGGCCGCAGTGCAATGGCATGATCTTGGCTCACCGCAACTGCCACCTCCCGGGTTCAAGCGATTTTCCTGCCTTAGCCTCCCAAGTAGCTGGGATTACAGGCAGGCGCCACCATACCCAGCTAGTTTTTGTATTTTTAGTAGAGACGGGGTTTCTCCATGTTGGTAAGGCTGGTCTTGAACTCCTGACCTCAGGTGATCCACCTGCCTTGGCCTCCCAAAGTGCTGGGATTAAAGGCATGAGCCACTGTGCCTAGCCCAATTTAGTGAAACTTTTTTTTACTACAAATTATTTTCTATAGATGCTTCATAGCGCTTCCTTGAAAAAGAAACTGGACACATTAATTTTTTAAACTAAACATCTGATCCTTTTCCTTGTTATGTCAGCCCTATTTTGAGCTCTTAATGTCATTTACATTCTTAATGTGAAAAATGACATCAAAAGTAACACTTTATATAGACTGGCTTTACCTGCTTTTAAATGAAAAACATCTACAAAATCACCATTTCTCATTCTGTTCTCCCAGTCTCATCAACACTGTAAATTCATGCAAGCCACAGGAGCTTATTCTGCCAACGTGATCTACAGGCTAAGCATAAGGTGACATGATTTAGGTATAGAAGATAAGCCAATGATTTGTCTTCCCAGTGCATTAATATCCCAAAAGTATATTGCTTAACTCTGGTAGAATGCCAGTTCATAGTAGATACTGAAAGTATAAATTTATTCAATTTGGCAAGGAATGTCTGCAGCTGGCCTCTTTCAGATTCCACTGCAAACATATTAACAAGCAATGCTTTTACTAGTTTTTGTTTGTTTGTTTTGCCACTAGTTTGTTAGGGTATATTCCTGACTGGAGAATAAGGCCAAGGCTCTTGGGAGCAAGAACTATAAATTAGTTCTATTTTATCCACATTTTACAGCTCAATATGGAACATACATTGGGTGTATGACTAGTGACGTCTGGAAGTTTATTCTACCACACAATGTTTAAATATGGATTACACTTTAATTTTTTAAGTTAAAAAGATAAAATCAAAGAAATATTGTTTCAAAAGAGGTCCACAGACACATGGTTTATAAAAACACCTATTTTACATAGCTTAAGCATTCATCAGAAAAGAAACAACCCAAATAACCAATTGAAAGTTGATATTTTCAATGGTAAAACCATTTATTAAACCACAATTACTTTTGCATCAATCTAATACTTTGGCCCATCAACTAATTGGCATACTGAATGCTGTAAGTATAGCCAAAAAATGAAGAAATTTAACATATTCATTAACTTGTCACAGCTTTAATATGACATCATTTTGACTCTTTAAATATTTGGGAGACAGACTTCTTTCAAAATCTGAGGACAATGGGAGAAAAATAAGCCAAAGGATTCCTTAGTTGTGAAAATGTTGGGCCCTAGTAGCATAAAAGACAGAAGACTATATCGAACTTAAAAACTTCCATGTGTCAAAGAAAACAGTGAAAAACAAACCTATGGAATGGAAAAGAATATTCAAAAGTCATATCTGATAAGAGATTAGCATCCAGAATATATGAGAAACTTTGACAACATCACCAGAGAAACGCAAATCAAAACCACAATGAGGTATCATCTCACACCCATTAGGATGGCCACTATTAAACAGAAGACAACTGTTGGCAAAAATATGGAGAAATTAGAACCCCTGTGCACCAATAGTGGAAATGTAAAACGGAGCAACCATTGTGAAAAACAGTATGGCAGTTCCACAAAAAATTAATAATAGAATTATCATATGATCCAGCAATCCAAATTCTGAATTATATATCTAAAAAATTTCAAAGCAGAATCTCAAAAAGATACTTGCACATCCATGTTCCTTGCAGCACGATTCACAGTAGCCAAGAGGTGGAAGCAGCCCAAATGTCTACCAACAGATGAGTGAGTAATGAAAGTGTGGTATATATGCACAAAGAAATATTATACAGCCTTAAAAAGAAGAAAATCCTGTCATAGATGCTACAACACAGATGAACCCTGAATACATTATGCTAAGCAAAACAAGCCAGTCACACAAGGGCAAATACTTATGATTCCATGCATATGAGGTATCTAGAACAGTCAAAATGATAGAAACAGAAAGCAAAAACAGTGGTTGCCAAAGGCTATGGAATTAAGTGTTTAATGAATAGTTTCAGAGATGCAAGTTATAAAAGTGCTAGAGATCTGTTGTATAACAATGTGAATACACTTAATATTACTGAATTGTACACTTAAAAATGGTTAAGATGGTAAATTTTTTTAAAGTTTTTACCACAGTTATTTAAAAATAGGAAAGCATTACTGAACACCATCATGAGCATTTGTAGGGCATGAACATATGTACATGGCTCTACCAATAGCGCTGGGGACAGGGGAGCCTTTATTCCCCACTTCTCATATTCCATTCCATGCAGAAGGACACCTGTCTATTCGTGTAACTACCCTGGTCTCTGGTGTGTCCCTTATTGATGTAGTTAAATGATTATTTGGGCAGAGGAACCTTAACATGTGAAACTTAGCCTGACTCTTACTCTTCATTGAGGTCTTCACCTAGAAAGCAATGCTCTGTTTTGCTCTCAGCCATGTGGATGGAAACTTAGCAATGAAGGCTCCCCTTGTGTAGGAGGCCTGGGTTTCTCTGGTGTTGCCTATACTTGGAAGCCGAAGCCTCTGTATTTGTGGGGTTCACACTTGGGAAGCCTGCTGTGGCTGTACACTGAGGCCACATCCCTCACTCTAGCCTGTATAATAGTAATACTTTTACCTCTACCTGCTCAGCTCCCTTCTCTCAAGGGATTCAGGACTCAATCCCCAAGAAACAGCAAAGTCCCTATCTTCACAGCATCCACATTTTGAGGGAGAGTAATCATATGGCTGGCTTCTCTATCTGTAAACAGCTCCTGACTAGAATCTCATTTTGAGTATGTGCTGAAGGTTCCAGAAATATAATCAATATTTGCATTTCTACAACAAAATTTCCACAGCCTCTACCAAGTTCCAGATATATGATGACCTTCAAGATACTGCCCTCCGATGGAAAACTCCAACTTTCAATTGATACAAAATCATGAACAAAACTGTGACAGTCATTACAGATTTTTTAAAGAAGCTGTTTTGGGGGGTTGCCCAAGATGGCCGAATAGGAACACCTCCAGCCTCCACCTCCCAGCGCAAGTGACACAGAAGATGGGTGATTTCTGCATTTTCAACTGAGGTACCGGGTTCATCTCACTGGGGCATGTTGGACAGTCAATGCTGGTTTGTGGGTGCAGCCCGACCAACGAGAGCTGAAGCAGGGCGAGGCATTGCCTCACCTGGGAAACGCAAGGGGGAAGGGAATTCCTTTTCCTAGCAAAGGGAAATTGAGACACACAACACCTGGAAAATCATGTAACTCCCACCCTAATACTGCACTTTACCAACGGTCTTAGCAAATGGCACTGCAGGAGATTATATACCACACCTGGCC